TCACCGTCGGTCCGACAAAACGAATGCCCCAAGAGCAGAAAGACAATTTGACGTGGTGCTCCGCGGGACTCGGATTGCGTCTCGATCTGATAAAATCGATCGATCGATCAGCGACGTTGCGCGACGACTTTTAACCGATTAAGTGTCACGGGGAAAAAGGAACCGGGTAATTTAGTAGATCGATCTCGGCTAGGCAAAGGAAAAGAAAAATTGTTTTGCCCGTTTTTTACGATAAAAATCGGCTCGAATAAAATGGTCGATTGAATCGAGACGGACAATTCCGCCGGACGCGTGTGTCTACCAACTGCGAGAGCGGATTACGAGGAGCGTAACGAATCGCTCTATCGAGATATACCGCGTCCGCTGCTTTTTTTTCTTTCCTTAACGGGACCCATTAAAACCCCATTACCGCGCGGAGAGGTGGGGCAAGGATATTTTTGTTCGCGATGGGATCGCGCTACGAAATTGCCGGTGGAAGTTTAATCGATGACATTAGAAAAGTCTGCTATCTGATTCGAACAGGGCGAAATTGTTTCCGTATTTGCATTTCTTATTGTTCAGTTTCTAAAAGAAAGTTCATCTTTTCTTTTTCAAGATCCATATCTGGTTTAACGTTTTCAAACGCGAGGTCGAAGGATATCGCTATTAACACCGAAACCATCGAATCGATCAAAACGACCGGTTTCTGAACTTTTCTTTTACAATTCCTGACGTGATAAAAGTGTTTCTAGGAGTCTGCGTGGACTTCTTATTCGAGAATACATCGTAACAAGGGTCGTAGAAAGTTTAAATCAATCCAATGTTGTCGTTATTATAAAACAATGTACCGCGGTTGTTTTTAAGATCTTGTAAGTTCCAGCGTTAAATGGCTGATCATCATTTTTAATAACACTGACCGTTGCTAGGAATTAAACGAATTACACTCGCACCAAGCTTTTAATATACTAGACCGACTATATACTTTGATTTTTAGAAAGCGCGCCTGGTTTCTTGTCTCAATTACCGATTTCTAGGTAACTGAATTTCACTCTTCCAACTTCACACGTCCAAAAGAACAGTAAATAATTTGCAAATTGAAAACCAGACGGCAATTCTGCGATTGCAAAATCATACGTATCTACATTAATCAGTTAGCTGTGGCACTGCTGTTCAGAGCGCGCACCTATACGTGACGCGAGAATCAGCCGATGACGAGTATACTCGTTAACGCGTTGAATGCCACGGGGGTCACCGGTGACCGGCGCTTAACTTGGCGGTGTCGCCATGGGGGCCACCGGTGACCGGCGCGCCCAAATTGATAGAAATATTATACAGGGTGTCCCAGGTTTTGATGTTCAAACTTTGTCAGTATATTCTATGGCACGAAGTAAGAACAAAATGTTATGCAAACATAGGTCATATAGAGCTTTATTAACACGTTCCGTGCCACGTGTACCATCGATGGTACACGCTTGCATGTTTACTTAGTGAACTGAACAAATTGTTTACAAGAAATTTAGAACCGAAGAATCAATTTCCACCGCAAGAATGGGCGTTGATAAGTTTTTGTTACGTTGTTATGTGTACGAGAATTAATAATTGCACGTAATACATCAAGTTTTAGTAAAATATCAAAGTGTGAAGATTCGAGTGAAAAAAGCTCGGCACGGAACGTGTTAAAAAGTTATAACAAAAATTCGTTCAATGAAATGAAAGAGAATAGAAACGAAATTCGCACGGTCATAAATTCGATCCTCGATCGATGTCAATCATGTATTTGTCAACAACGGTAGACATTTTGAAATGTATTAATAAACACAGCTTACATAAACACACGGCATGTGCTGATCTATTCAAGCCAATGCTCGCAGTAACAGCAAGTCGATTACTATTCCTACTCTGAATTTTTGTTATAACTTCTTAATAAAGCTCTATATGACCTATGTTTGCATAACATTTTTTTCTTACTTTGTGCCACAGAATACACTGACAAAGTTTGAACATTAAAACCTGGGACACACCCTCTGTATAATTTAAAACAAATGTCAATATCTAAAATTTTGTATTCTTACCATCGTCGATTCGAACAGTGACCCCTGTCGCAATTAACATGTCAAACATGGTTACACACTGTAACTTATCTGTTGCAGATAATATTTCAACATTATATGTATCACATAAAAGAAAATTCATCGTGACGTCACGGATAATTCCTGTAAAACCGGCGTGGCATTCAACATGTTAAACACAGAGCAAGTGTCGCTGTTAAAATATTGGATCGAAAAGACGGTTCTGTTTTATAAGATTAACAATTTTGTTACTGACATTTACTTATTCACTTAACATCAACAGATGAGCCGTTTATTTTGAAAGTGGCATAAGTCACTTTATCGTAATGAAAAGTGGTGATTTTTTAATGTTTATACGAAATTATTTATACTGAGAAAAATATCAGTATCCTGAGACTGTCTCTTATACACATCTAGATGTGTATAAGAGACAGTCTCAGGATACTGATATTTTTCTCAGTATAAATAATTTCGTATAAACATTAAAAAATCACCACTTTTCATTACGATAAAGTGACTTATGCCACTTTCAAAATAAACGGCTCATATACTACATACATAATAAACGAAAAGCCCGGGAAAAAATCAAGTACTTGTAAAAGTTACAAATTCAAATTGCTGCTGTAGAGTGATATTCGGCAAACATCTTCGCGTAGGACTGGCCTCAAAATATTCTAAGCATATTGAAATTTGAGAATACGTATTTGTTTTTACTAAAATTACAATTTAAATAGCCAATGGTCGCTACCATTTACGCACGACGAGTATACTCGTCATGACAGAAAATACTGCCACTTCTCCGTGACGAGTATACTCGTCAAACACAGCTGACTGGTTAATGAAAACTTCGTCAATCGATGAAAGAACCATGCAATCCGCAATTATTCGTTGTGTCAATGAGATCGAATAGCGAAACTGAAAATCCATCCAACACAGTAAAAACGTCACATCTGATTTTTCAATTGAACGAAAACTGTACTTTGCAGGAAAAGATATATTTTTTGGCGATTCGCCAAGTAATCACAATGTCCCGCGCGAAGTGTCCTTTGACAGCGGCCCGTTGATAAATCGGTAACATCGGTCAGTGCCACCGTCGCCGTATAAATTCCCCGCCAATGATTGCGTCGCGATTTTCGAGGGGACGGCCGACACAATTATTAAGGCCCGGGCCTCGGGTATAGTAATTTTTCATCGAACCTGCCGAATCACCGTCGTGACATTCGGTCAACCGACCAGGACATTCCCCGGCCGTCTCTGTCACGCCGGCCGTTCGCGCGAGCAATTTGTTGTCGCGAGCTTCGATTCACTTGTCATCTGTTTTGAAATAAATTGCGTGCTCGTTAGAACGAGTACCTTGAAATTTTTGCTCGAAGTGCTCATCATCGCTACACTGTCGATCAATGTACATTCATGGCACGAACAAATACTTCTGCCAGAATACAATCCTCCAGTTAATGGACAGAATGTTCTTCTTATTCTGATCTTTGCGAAACGATCGATAAAAATCGAAGTTTACAGAATCGATCATCGTGTGAGAAGATAGTATGGGTATAAATATAAGAATAGCTCCATCAGGCGTAATTGTCTAAAATTCTGATCTTTTTGCGAAACGATCGATAAAAATCGAAGTTTACAGAGTCGATCATTGTGTAAAAAGACAGTATGAGTATAAATATAAGAATAGCTCCATCAGGCGTAATTGTCCAAAATTCTGATCTTTGCGAAACGATCGATAAAAATCGAAGATTACAGAATCGATCATTGTGTAAAAAGACAGTATGAGTATAAATATAAGAATAGCTCCATCAGGCGTAATTGTCCAAAATTCTGATCTTTGCGAAACGATCGATAAAAATCGAAGATTACAGAATCGATCACCGTGTAAGAAGATAGTATGAGTATAAATATAAGAATAGCACCATCAGGCATAATTGTCCTAAGTTTTACTTATTAATTCAACTACGGAATCTACGGCGATGAAAAAGTAATAGCAAGTCGATGAAAAGGCTCGTTTCCCTTGGAAGTGATTTAAAGAAGGTGATATAAGCGAACGTTGATCACATTAGTGCAAATAAAACATATTTAGATCTTTATTAATTCATCTAACACTCTTGCATGGAAAATATTACTGCGAAACTCAGAATCGTTAATTAAGAGACTGATTATCATAAAAAACTCTAAGAATTCACAGAAATTGGCGACCTTCTTAAAAAAATCTTCTAACGTTTCATGGAACCGGAGTTGGGCAAAAAGTAATTTGATTAATGATTAACGATAATAGCTTGTTAGTTATTATAACTAATTTACAATAATTTATAATAACTGACGAATTATAATAATTTGTAATAACTGACGAGTTATAATAATTTATAATAACTGACGAGTTATAATAATTTGTAATAACTGACGAGTTATAATAATTTATAATAACTGACGAGTTATAATAATTTATAATAACTGACGAGTTATAATAATTTATAATAACTGACGAGTTATAATAATTTGTAATAACTGACGAGTTATAATAATTTATAATAACTGACGAGTTATAATAACTTATAATAACTGACGATTATAACAAATTATAATAACTGACGATTATAATAATTTATAATAACTGACGAGTTACAATAATTTACAATAACTACCTAGTTATATTCGTCAGTTATAGTCAAGTAATCAGATTACTTTTAACCCACCACTGAATTCAATAAATCCTCTCATCGGAAAGCAAAACATAATCGTGACGTATGCCTCGAGATCCTCGCAGATCCTCGATGGTACATTGAATCCAAGGACCTCCATCGCGAGAAGAGACATCGGTTGAAGGGCCGAAATTCAAGAAACGCTGATTTACATGCTCGCGGCGAGAGAACGTCCGCAGAAAGACGCGCGTCACGAGTGCAGGAAACGACGGATGCAAATCCGAATGGTTGACGCGACATCGATTACCTTATAGAACGCGATCCATAGCGCCTGGTCGTGGTTTTCTTCCCGCCTGGGAATGTGTTTGCACAGCGTGTCGTGGTCCACGATGGTCGTCTGAAAAGCAGAATCGAGAACGCTTCAGAATACACCGTGTAAACAGAGAGCGCTGCTTCTGAAGCAGCTCCGTCGTTGAAGAGAGCTCGGAAGCTGGAGCGTTTCCTCGGAGGAAATCATTCCCGTGTTCACCCTCTCGACAGGCCGCAGAAGCAGCCTCCTCGTGGATCGAGAAAGAAGCGGTAGCACTCTCGAAAAACACTGAATCATGCGCTCGTACGCGGCCGAACGGAACAATGATCGTTGGCGGAAGGGGACGCCCGGGGACGGCCGTTTAAGGGTTTAATTATTTATCGCTCACCTTGACGCGGCTCAAAGGTAACTGGGAGTCTCTTGAACCGTCGGGAACGGATGTTTGCAGCAGCAACGCTTGCGGAACGCTCACTCGGTCCTGCAACACAAACAACAACCGTGATTGTCTCCGCTCGTCGAGTCGCGCAGGATCGATGGGATATTCAATGGGGACCCGGAGCGGCTATTGTCGAGACCGGGGGAATTGTGTCGGCGGTCGGGTTACCTTCAGAAGGGCCAGGACCTTGTCCAGAAACTCCAGACAGGCCGGAGAGTCGCCGCGGACCAGCAGGGTGAATCCGTTCCTCGCCTGGTCGGCGCTGAAAGCAAACGAGAGCAACGGTCAGCTTTCGATGACAGGCTGATTTTCGAATTATTCCGGACGGCTCGGCCAGAAACGTTCTCGCGCCCGTGACGCCGGGCAGCGACGCGCGCCGCCAGGTAAATTGCCGAACGCATTCCCTGCATACACGTGAGTCACCGTGATACGGTAGTCAACGCGGTTGACAAGATCTCCCACGTGACGAGCGCCGTGTCGCCGCGATTTCTCCTCCGAGTCATGCTCCCGGTGAAACGAGGCGGCCGATGCTGTCGACACGTCGAGGACCGATTATGCACGCGGCCCGCAAGGGCGCTAAATCCCGGAGCTGACACCTACTTCGACGCCTAATTGATTCGTTTTTCTGCGATCGCTCTTTCATTCGTGTCGTTTTGGTTCGAGCTTGCAGGCATTCGCGACATTAACCTTTTAGGTACGGCTGAATTCTGCTATTTCTCTGGACGGCAGAGTCTGATATGTACTGTACAGAGTGTCTGTATATTCTGTCTGTATATTGTTAAGATACAGTTATATTGTTAACAGTTATATTGTTAGCACGTTCCCTGCCAGACCGTTTTTTGAAGACTCTCCGTTCAAGCCGCGTGGGGCGTATGCGCCCCACGCTTTACATTTGTATTATTTTGTTTCTGGCGTATGCTTTACAATAATTAAAATAGTGCAAAAATCATAATTATCAAGGAAAGGTTGTATAGTTTAACATGCATAACACAGCAAACCAATAAATTTATTTTTCTAGGAATTACTTTAACAAATACCTGGCTGATCATTATTATGCCAAGCGAGTTGCATCCTAACATATAATTTTTTTTATCATACCTATATTAGTTTAAAATATAACATTTTAGTTAAATTCAAGTTTGTATGCGATTACAAAGGGATGTTACGATGAACTTTGTTAAAACATGGCAAACATAAGTGTGGTTTATCCACACAACTATCGCAGAATGTTACAACTTTTACAGTACTATAGAACTATAAATCAATCCCAGCTTCAGTGAAGCAGTAAGTATTGTGTCAACGACGCGCGAATAAATGACTGATCGGAATAAGAGAAATGCAGTTAAAACAAGTTACAGTAAAGAAAAACTGCCCATCACGCCGCGTGGGGCGTATACGCCCCACGATTAAATGAGGGCATCAGCAATAGTATTAAGATGTCCATAATTGACTGCATAATGAATTTTTAAAAAATTCTTCATTTTACAATGATAATACCAAATGGCTTGAACGGAAAGTTCAGCGTGGGGCGTATAC